ATACTGTATAAAGTGTATTGTATTGTGTTGTATTATCATAATACAATACGGTATTTAGTGTCATGACATATTGTATGAGGGATTAAAATGCAAAATTTTAATAATTGTGAGGTCAAAATATAATTTTTGAAAAATTATGGGCCAATATATAATTTTCAATTGTTTTGAGGTCAAAATGAAATTTTATAAAATTTAGGGTTAAAGTGTAATTTTACAAAAGTTTTGGGGTCAAAATATAATTTTGCAAAAGTTTTGGGGTCAAAATATAATGTTTAATAAATATAAAATTTGCATTGTGCCCCTTAAATTTTTCATCAATTGTAGGCTCCGGCATGATCCTATGTCGACTTGATCCTGACCTCTAGTTGTGCCAAACCCCAACATGAATCATTAATCCATTATAAAATAATATAATACAATACGCTAAAAATGAGTCATATATAAGACATAAACCGTTTTAAATTATCATCCGTATTAATTTATATAATATGATGGTCACACTAAATATTATATTATTATATAATACGATACTCTAATACGGTCAAACAAACATACCCATATAACATCACGAGAGCTAATGTGACAGATATTGTGGTGTGGGATTTCTCTCATCTTCTCTACACTAGTATGAGGAGCAATATTGTCGAGTTAAAGTATATATGGCTCGGCGGTCCCCTCGCATAAGAGTCTAAAAATGGCTCTTAATTGTTCTTTGTCTTGTCTATATCTATTGAGTTCGTTTATGAATCAAATGTGGTGCCAAAATTTTAATTTTGCTGCATCCATTTGGCTACCTCAATTTGTAGATCGGAAAAGGCTAAACAAAAGGAAGAGGAAAAGGAAATAAAGTATATGCATTTGGATTGTTTGATTACTTCCGAAATAATATGCTGTCAGTTTGTCTTTTGGATTTGGACCAGCCTTTTTCATATTTCGCATTCATTTGCGGAGCTTGCTAGATGAAAATGACACTAAGTGCCTTCACACACAAACACAGAGAGAGAGAGATATATGGAAATGCATGTCCTTAAAAGACCTTTCTTCAATTTTGTTTATGAATCTAATAACTACGGGTGACTCCTGAAATTGTCAATATGTTTCTTTCTTCAATTGTTGTCACATGATCTACTACTTTTGCCATCAGCCAGAAAGTTATGTAGTAAAGTTATTATGGAAAAAAAAAAAAATATATATATATATATAGATAATTTTTTATTGAGTTAAGACGTTATGCATATTTGTGCATGTGTGTGTATTTATAAAGTGGACGTATAGCTGAAATTTTACAAAATTTTAAGAGTAAAAATCGAAATTCTAAAACGGAGCACGTCCCTTACTAACTAATATGTGGCTCCGCCCCTGCATGCAACATGGGATGAAATTTAAGGTGTGTTATATTTATATGTTGGTCAAAAACCTATAAGCTTGGTTTTCCATGGTCATGATTTACTCCATTTGCTTTGGCAGAATTCACTAAACTATAATGAAGATCTTCAAATTGTTATTTGAAGCCACAAGATATAATGTTTAGTGTGATCATCGTATTATATAAATTAATATGGATAGTAAATTAATACGATCTATGTCATATTATTAAATACAACTTATTTTTGGCGTATTGTATTATTTTATAGTGGATTAATGATTCATGTTAAGATTGAGTAGGATTGGAGGTCAAGGTTTGGTCGATATAAAGTCATGTCAGAGCCTATAATTGCTGAAAAATTTAAGGGGCACGCACAATGCAAATTTTATATTTATTAAAAATTACATGTTGACCCTACAACTTTTGTAAAATTACAATTTAATCCCAAACTTTTGTAAAATTACACTTTGACTCAAATTTTTTTTATAAAAATTCATTTTAACCCCAAAAACTTTTGAAAAATTATATTTTGACCCTAAATTTTTTAAAAAATTGCATTTTGAGCCCAAAATTACTAAAATTTTACATTTTACCCCTTATACAATACGTTTATGACACCAATCATCATATTCTATTACGATAGTATAACACAATATAATATAACTTATACAATACAATACAATATAAGCTACCAAGTTTTGTCTCTTTTAAACTGATGAAGAACCCGTAGGAAAACATAGAAAACACAGATTCGCGAGTGGCGGTGATTGTGTACATGTGTATACAAATATATAAATGTAATAAATTGATATTGGTATTCGGATACCTCTATGTTTAATATATGATATGAAGAGATGGAACAAATGAACAACTAAAAGAATGGCCCCTAAAAAGAAAGGGGAAGTTTATCTAATAGTACATTTTTAGAATTAGAGTCAATTTTTAATGGTTAGTTTTGATAAATTAAAATTACATTAAATTAAAAAATATATAAAATAAATTATTTTTAATATAAATTTAACGACCGAAAGTAATTCATTTTTCAAGAGAAACTCTAAAAAAAAAGCCGATAACTAAAATGTATATATGGCCCACCAGATACATCCGTTTCACCAAAATTTGACATGTCCATTCCACCGTCGAACTATTAAAATAGTAAGAGAATATCAGGTAAAGGAAAAGGGTTGGAAAGTAGGCAATACAATAAGTGAGTTTAGTCAAAAGAGAAATAGTAAGTGGATTAGCTTGGCAACGTCTTACTGGCGTCGTTAAGTTAGGCTTTAGTATGAAAATAAATAAATAATGCCATGCTAAGATTGTCCGAATGCCTATTCAATTTTCACCTCCAAATTTTTCATATTTTCTTGTACTTTTCTTCTGTTGTTCTCTTTCTTTTCGGAGATGTTTGGTTCATGGATTAGAACCATATGATTAGAATTATTTTCAATTTACGTGTATTTTTTATGAGAGAAAATACTGTAACAAACTACGAACCATGATTCAAATAAGAGAATGAATCCCCCTCAACAACTCAATTATTTAGGCAGTATATATGTTCAGTTACAACCTCAGATACCGCTAGTTATACCACTGGTACTTTTATGTTATAAGACTACCCAAAAAAGGAAAAGAAAAAAAAATCATCCACTCCAATCTTCCTATATGGGCTGAATTCTTAAAGTTGTTCAAGAGGAAGAAAGCAAGAAATGAAAAAAAAAAAAAAAATCATCCACTCCAATCTTCCTATATGGGCTGAATTCTTAAAGTTGTTCAAGAGGAAGAAAACAAGAAAAGAAAAAAAAAAAAAAAGGACAAGCAATGAATTATTTGCTGAAAAAGAAATAATCAATTCACTCTTGATAAGCAAGCTGCTCATATTGAGTACATATTTATAGAGAAAACAAGGAAAAAAAAATACAACGGTAAAACTATTTCTAATTAAGTGCTTGATTACAGCCTTATAATTATGAAAGGAAAAATATTTTAAAACAAATATGGGAAAGAATTGCATATAGTCTGCAATGTAGCCGCTGTCTAATTTGCTATTCTAAAATGATGTCTAACTAATTATATTATGTTACGTTATTTAAAAATAAAAAAAATGCTCTCTTTAATGTTTAAATTCATTAAATGACCTGACATGATATAATTAGTTAGACACTATTTATAACTTTAAAAATTAGATAGGTGATTTGAATCCCATTTCATTTATGTAGATGTATCAAGCAAATTTTTTTTAAGGGAATAAATGTATCAAGCAATTTAATTTTGTTTGTTTTTGTAAGATTAATTTTAGTTGTTGAATGATAAAGACAACAGTAAGAGTCACAGAAAGTTTTGTTTTTAATATTGTTTTTTTATGAGAGTTTATCTGGTAAAATTGGAAAAAATAAATTATTTTTTATTTTTTATTTTTCAATCATCAAATTTATATTAAAAATTATGCATTTTACATGTTTTTTAAATTTTATGTGATTTTAATTAAATTTATCGGTTTAAAAATATACCAACCTACCGTGCCTTCTTTTATATTGTATACGAAAAGAAAAGACCATGAGAGACCAGAAAGATGGTAGACAAAATAGGAGAAAAAGTACTAATTCTACCAAACAAGAGAAAAAGAACTAACCATCACTGTGAAATGAATTCTGCAGTACGGCACAGAGAACAACAAATTTATGGTGGAGGATTGTGAATAATTGGATTTTTTTATCGGAGTTTGTCAAATTTATGTCTTGTTTATAGTACTAGAAGTCCCACTCTTTCTATGCATATTACTTTATATTAAAAGCCTCAAGTATGATAATTAGTGATGAGTCATGACTAGTAATCTTTCCTTTAATTAGACTTTACCATAAAAAACTATGGTATCATGATTCGTGATGTATGAAATTAATAGGTTAAAATAAAACTATATTATATTGACTCAGTTCGTAAATTGCGAATCATGAGGGGCCAATTTCCCAAACACGAGTCCCCACGGTTAAAAAGTGGAAAAAGCAGTACAACAAACAGAGTGTGACCAAAAACTCCCAAATGGACTTGGCTCGTACTGCAACATGTTATGGTCTCCAACTCACTAGGATGTCTTGTAGCTACCACAGACAAGATTCCCTCTCTACTTTCCCTTCTCATTTCTCTCAATGGAAAACCAGTTTTACTATAAACACTTCACTGGGGTGCATTTGGCACATCCACACCGCCAGCTATATTTTATTACGTTCCCATGTTCAGTAAGTTCCATTTATTGTTTTCCCACTCCGACATTGCCACAGACTACAAGACAACAATATCACTTTGGACTTAACTTTTTAGAAACAAGTTACTCTCTCTCTCCCCCCCTTCCCTTTTATTAAGGAAAAAAAATGCTTTATGCAACTCAATTTGAGTATTGGATGATAAAATCATAAAACTATGGAGATTTATTACTGAACATCAAGTCGGATTAAAATCATATAAAAAAATTTACAAAAATGACAAATATGACGATTCAAAACATGATTTTACCATGATGAAGATTTCATTAAAAATAAACTTTATGAATATGGTTGAAAATTTTCAGCTATTAACTAAACATTATATATATATATATATATTTATTTTATTTTGCTGAAACGAGGGCTGTCACGTTACTTTTGCCAAAGACCAACTTCTCCTTCACAATACCAACTCTCTTAACATAACGTCTCCCACTTGACACATTCTCTGTTCTCATATCTTCTCTCTTTCCCCAACCCAAACCGGAAGCTAATCTTTGCTTAACCCCCCCAGTTGATTTGTTCACCAAAACAACAAATTACAAACCACAGTTGGCCACCCTCCTCCTCTCTCTCTCTCTCTCTCTCTCTCTCTCTCTCTCTCTAATTCCCATCTCTTTTTCTACACCATGAACAAGTAGAGACCAAACCATGTTGAACCAGCTGAGAAAAACATGAGCCCCAACACTCAAACTTCTACTACTACAACTCACCGTTTCAGTTGGTCTCTTCTTTTTCTTCTTCTCCTTCTTAAACTCCGCAACTGTTTTGCTCTTAACTCAGATGGGATTTTCTTGCTGTCCTTCAAGTACTCAATCCTAAGCGACCCACTTTCCGCCTTGGAAAACTGGAACTACAATGACGCAACTCCTTGCTCATGGAACGGCGTCACGTGCTCGGAGCTGGGTTTCCCGGGAACACACAACATGTTCAGAGTCACCAGCTTGGTCCTCCCCAACTCCCAACTTCTCGGCTCGATCTCCCCCGACCTCGGCAAGATCGAACACCTTCGCCACCTCGATCTCTCCAACAACTTCTTCAATGGCTCCTTGCCACTCTCCATCTTCAACGCCTCCGAGCTTCAGGTCCTCTCTCTCTCCAACAATGTCATCTCCGGTCAGCTTCCTGAATCCGTTTCCGGCCTCGGAAGTCTTCAGTTGCTGAATCTCTCCGACAATGCTTTCGCCGGGAAGGTCCCGGAGAATCTGATCACTTCCTTGAAAAATTTGACGGTTTTGAGTCTCAGGAGTAACTATTTTTCCGGTGACGTTCCTTTCGGGTTTAATACTAGTATTGAAGTGTTGGATCTGTCTTCTAATTTGCTCAACGGGTCTCTGCCTCCGGATTTTGGTGGTGAGAGTTTGAGGTACTTGAACCTGTCATACAACAAGATTTCCGGTAAAATACCGTTGGAATTTGCGCGGAAAATTCCACAGAACGCGACCATTGATCTCTCCTTCAACAACCTCACCGGAGCGATACCGGAATCAGGATCTCTTCTCACCCAGAATAAAGAGCTTTTCTCGGGAAACTCCGGTTTATGCGGGAAGCCATTGAAGAACCTCTGCACAATCCCTTCCTCTCTCTCAACACCACCAAACGTCTCAGCCACTTCGCCGGCGATCGCAGCCATTCCGAGAACAATCGACTCGAACCCTTCGGCGAACTCGACCGCTCAGAGCCAACCCCAGTCGGGGCTGAAACCGGGGACAATCGCCGGAATCGCCATTGCCGACCTCGCCGGGATAGCAATTCTCGCGATGGTGATTCTCTATGTCTACCAACTGAGAAAGAAGAAAGCGAACATCGACCCGGAAAAGAGTCCGGAGAAAGAAGACGACCCGAAGAAGTGGTCTTGCTTGTTGGGGACCAAAGGAGGAGGAGATACGTCGGAGGGGACGAGCTCCGACAGCGACAGGGAAGAGAGAAACAGTGAGGAGACGAGTAGTGGAATTAAAAAGGGAATGCTTGTGACGGTGAACGGGGAGAGGCCGGAGCTTGAGCTGGAGAGCTTGTTGAAGGCGTCGGCGTACGTGTTGGGAGCGAGCGGGGAGAGCATTGTGTACAAGGCGTTGCTGGAGGACGGGACGGCCATGGCAGTGAGGAGAATAGGGAAGAGCCAGGGGGAGAAGATGAGGGACTTCGAGAGCCATGTGAGGTCTGTTGCGAAGCTCAGACATCCGAATTTGGTGAGGGTTAGGGGGTTCTACTGGGGAGAGGATGAGAAGCTTGTCGTCTGTGATTATGTCTCCAATGGTAGTCTCGCCGGCACCGGAAGCAGTGAGTTTTTCTGTTCTCTCTCTGTTTCTCATGTCTTTGGTGTGTGGGGCGTATGTTAGTGGGATACTTTTGTTTCTGCTAAAATACGCTGGTTTGTGCTTGTATATGGTAGTGACGTGTGCTTCTTTTGACTAGTCTGCGCTAACCTTATGTTGTTGTTTCTTTTTTTGAAAAAGAAAATGATAATTAACACTAACGACACTAACAAAAGGTATTAGAAATGATATTAGTTTCTTTTAAGGTATTGATCATGCAAATTATGATTCATGAAGCAAATTATAAGAAAATAATTCAAGATTCTTTTTTGTTGGAAAAATAATTTAAGATTCAGATTAGAAAAACACGAATATAGTAGCACACTGTATATAGAGCTTTGTCGTTGCATTTATTTGGTGTGATATCTGAAGGTTTCTTTATTTGTCAAAAAAAAAAATCTATCGGTATATTTTCAATTAAGTTCCATTTGAACGGCCAAATATTATGTTCTATTTATCTAATATTTTCACACTCTACTACAATATTCAACTTTTTTGTTTTTGTTATTGAATCTTCTTGAATTTTTTAATTATTAATTAAGAGTCATAGGATCCCTTTTACTATTAACGTGATGGAATATTTTTAAAGTACCTATCTATATCTTACGTTGGCAGAGTACCTGAAATAGTATTATTTTTTATTACATAACTGGACAAGTTGGATAAGTCATCATCATTATTTTAGCAATTCTCAAACTACATATACTTCATAAATAAACTGCGGGTTATTTTTTTTAGAGGGTAGTTTTTGAGTTAAATTTGAATTATAATTTGAGTTGAAGTTGTAATTTAAATAAAGTTGAGTAAAGTTAAATAAAGTTAAAACTTAAAAGAACGTGAACTTAAATAAAGTTAGAATTCGAGTTATCTTTTTTTTTTTAATTTTTTGGACAAAAGAACATGCCTACATACCGTGTCAAGAGAAATTTGTAGGATTCATTACTGCACGTGACACCTGCATAAATTGTAGTGGCCCATAACATAAATGGAAAAAATAGAAAAATAAAAACCACCATTATTGTAATGTGCGCATGCCTTTGGTCGAGCATAGTATCATAATATTTAAGGTTTACCTAAAAAATGGTCTCTAAAATTTATTCTTAATCTCAATTTGGTTTCTATTTTTAAAACGTTTCACGGTTAATCCTTAAGGTTTTATTCTCTTTTTAGTTTTGGTCATTTTTTTTTAATTTATTGATAAATTTTTAACAGTCTGTAGAAATTAGAAATTAAAATTAAGAAAACATATAAAGTTTAGAGACTAAAAAAAATAATAATTTCTATAGATAGTCTCAAAGTTTTAACTGTTTCTAATTTTGATTTCTAATTTATCTAGATTTTTATTAAATTTTAATGTCTAATTAACAGAAGAACCGAAATTAAAACAAAATAAAACTTCAAGAACCAACTGTAAAATGTTTAAAAAGTCAAGAACTTAAATGAGATTAAGAGTAAACCGTACATACGTAACCCTTCTAAGTTACTATTACAGGAAGTTTCACATATAATACACCAAATCATGTGTAACCTAACTTAATGGGAAAACCGCCAAAATAATGCGGAAAAATAGTTTTTTTTTTTTTTTTTTTTTTTTTTTTAATCATTCACCCTGGGGGGCTAAAACTCATGCCAATTTGAACTCGTAAATCAATATTGATTTTGCCAGTGAGCTGATCTCTAAAATGGCTATATAATTTTATTGTTCTTTCTTGCTATTATTCCTCAAATTGTAATTAAAATCAACTGTTCAATATGTATGTTGATTGAATTATACCAATTCCAAAAGCACTTTAATATCATTGTTATAAATATTGGTTCTTCCCGGTAACTTACTATAATTTCTGACGTATATGAAAGCTTCAGGAAGAGCAGGCTCGTCACCGTTGCATCAACCTCTGGAAGTCCGCCTGAAGATAGCAAGAGGTATTGCCAAGGGACTAGCCTACATCCACGAGAAGAAGCACGTGCATGGCAATATCAAACCAAGCAACATTCTCTTAAACTCTGATATGGAGCCCATAATCAGTGATTTAGGCCTCGACCGGCTTGTCTCCGGCAATCCCATTATTAGCCACAAAGAAAGCGGTTCATCTCGTTATTTTGGAAGCCTAAAATCCACAGCCGCCGTCACCCGTGATAGCCAACAAGATGTCCCGATTATCAGCAGCCCCGTCACATCCTCCACATCTGCCATATCTCCTTACCAAGCGCCGGAGTCGCTTAAGAACCTGAAGCCAAACCCTAAGTGGGATGTGTTTTCTTTTGGTATAATTTTGCTTGAGCTTCTAACCGGTAGGGTTTTCTCGGACCGGGAACTAGGGTTGTGGACCGCCGGTTTGGTGGCTGAGGACAAGAACCGGGTTTTGAGACTGGTTGACGTGGTGATTCGGGCTGAGGTGGAGAGCAGGGAGGATGCCTTGCTGGCATGTTTGAAGTTAGGGTTTAGTTGTGCCTCTTTTGTCCCACAAAAAAGACCAACCATGAAAGAAGCTCTCCAAGTGCTAGACAAGATTCCGTCCACTTCTTAACACTTATAATGGATGTATTTGGGTCCCACAAAAGTGTTTGTTAGACTAAAGCGTTCTCTTTTTGTTCATCTTTAATTGACTTGGACGTTGCATAAAAAGCATAAGGAATGTTGATAATCTATGTGAGAAAGCGTTTGTATGCTTGACTGATCAACTATATATATATATATATATATGTCATTTTTATAAACATGTTCTCTCTCCCTCTCATCCTTATTATGTTTTATTGCACTGCAACCCCTTCGTTATTCCACTCCTTTTTCTTTTCTTTTTCACAATTATGTGCTTATGTATTCAAACTTACAGCCATAACATGTTTATTTTCTACTCTCTCACCCTTACTTTCATTTTCTTTTTTCTTTTCACCTTTATAGTTTTTCTTTTTCACTTTTTCTCTCTCATTTTACTTCTCTAACATATTATATATATATATATATATACATATATATATATAAGCTATCTGTCCGAAAAGAAATTCTTATGAAACTCTGTCTCTAACCAGCTCCAAGAAATAATTGCCACTAATGATCCACCGGAAACCTTAAAATTCCAAGATTTTGTTATACTGGACTTATTGATAGAGAGTTTGTTGCTCTGTTAAACAAAACACATTGCAATATGTAGGCATGTATTCATTAAATGTATTATCTCATCAATGTATATCAGTATATGCAACTTTATGTATTTTCGTACTCATAGTTTCTCGTAAACTATATCTACTCTTTTGTTCTTATTTAAATATACTCTCTCAATGAGCCTAATTTCTCATTTTAGCCGTGATCTACCTACATAAAATTAATTAGAAAACTTAAAAGCACAAAGTGTTGTTGGCACATTCATTACAAACTAGTATATATAGAAGTGCAAAAAGCCTTTGTCAAAAAAGCATAAAATAGAGTTTTCTGGTTTTTGGTTTTTTTATCAATTTCTTCATTGATACATCATAAGAAGTATATCTCTTTTTTTAAAGGATTAATATCTCAGATCTTCCTGAATTTTGAGATCATTTCCACTTTGTTCTCTAAACTTTGAAAACTCTCGCTTTGTTTCTTAAATTTTGAATTTGTCCCATTTTGGCCCTTTTATAAGAATTTCTCTTAAAATCAAATGGAAAAAAGAGGGGGTTGAGTGTGACCATATTATTTTTATATGTGTGTTTTTAACAGAAAGACTACGTGACTGCATTGTTCTTTTTTTGCCCATTTGTTTTTAACAAAAATTACAACAAAAATGATTAAGTGAGAACAATTCAAAGTTCGAGAGGTAAAGTGAGAGTTTTTAAAGTTTAATGGGTAAACTGAGAATGACTTAAATTCAGAGGACACCAGTGATAATAATATATATTTTTTAATATAACGATCTTCTACATATAATATTAAAGATCTTAAAAAAATACAAACTAGGATCGAAACAAATGCTGGCACGTGCCACGATAAATTTGTAAACCTATTAAAATAAACTCAGTCCCTATTTACATGATATACAATCAAAAATTCAAGGGGAAATGAGACAAATAACTCTTAAAAATGCATGAGAAAGTAAAGTGAATGTCGCCAAATTTTGCAAACATTGCCCTCTCTATATATTCATGGCAAAAATTAACCTTATCGAGCAAATCAAAAGCTCAAGACTGATCTTGGAGAGCATCAACACAATATAAAAAGAATAATCACTCTCAATCCTTGGTCTAAACCATCGTTAAGTATTTATATAGTTAATTACAAAAATATACCTCCAAATTTCATTTTTTTCCTCAATTTATCCTTCTATTTTCTCAATTAAAAAATGTTTTAATTTCATCCCTGGTCGCAATTTTTGGACAAAGGAGGGCCCTGGGGTGGGCAGCTTCTTACATTGAAGGAGGAATATGCCTCTTTTACTTTATGTTCTTCAACCTAAGAAGTAAAAACAACACAATGTAACACAAAAAGGTGATGAAACGGCAATCTACACAAACGACAAGAACATTAGAACATGAGCACTAGATTGTGAAACGACAGGAAAAAGAGACAAGAAACATTTGGAAACTTCTATAATATATATCGCTTCTTACATTGAAGGAGGAATATGCCTCTTTTACTTTATGTTCTTCAACCTAAGAAGTAAAAACAACACAATGTAACACAAAAAGGTGATGAAACGGCAATCTACACAAACGACAAGAACATTAGAACATGAGCACTAGATTGTGAAACGACAGGAAAAAGAGACAAGAAACATTTGGAAACTTCTATAATATATATCTATATATATATATATATATATAGACACACACACACACACATTGGAAACAACGCATGTTGAAAGAAACGGAAAAAAAAAAGTTTTTTTCTTGTTACTAATTTTATGAACATTTCAACTTGTTAATTTCTATATCTTATAAATTTGTGGAGTTTTGATTAACCATTACTTTATCTTAAATTTATACAATTATCTTAAAATGTTACGATATTATTTTTTAACGTAAAGATAATTGAATTGGTATATTTATTCATATAATTTGTATCTCTTTGCATGAAAATGTAAATGCTATACACGTTCAAGTTCGACTCTAATTGTAAGTCGAATTACTTATCTATTCAATTCTATAATGATAAATAATTATTAAAATATTTTAATATTGAAATATTGTTAATCGTATTTAACGATTTAAGATGAGAGTTTTGTAAAAAATACATAAACGCTTACATATAGAGAGAGAAAAAAAGAGGTACAGGCACGTCCCTCATAGTAGTCCGTTAGAGATTGGTTGATCTTATTCGTCCTTTAATCCAAGACTCTATTCTTTTTCTTGTAAGCAGCTTATCCTACCCTAGAAAGGGCAAATATATTGTTTATAAGAGAATTTATTCTTAAATCAGGATGTCGATTTACTTTATTTTATTTTATCTTATTATATTTTTGCACCTAGTTACGTTAAAAATAATTTCAAGTTAGGTCAGATAACATTCTCTTTTGTTACCGTGCATATTTATAAGATGCTATATTTTTGTTCAAGAAAAAAATTCTGTGTATTTCGGTTATCATCAATATTTGAGCGCGCGATGATAAACTGCAAATGATGTTAAAATGTTTAAAAAAAAAAAAGAGTTTAAATCTTTCATAAAATACATATAATTGAAACAAATAAAACACTGGATTAATTGTAAGGGGAACAAAATTAGGGACTCATTTTTGAGAGAGAAAAACAATTCAGGTATCTTCTATAAAGCAAAGGAATATAAGGGTATTCCTTTTCCATAAAAAAAAAAAAAACAAAAGAAGTATAAGGATATTTTTGTGAGAGAAAATACTTAGGCTCCGTTCATTTCGCTGATTCGAGTTTAGAATTTGAGTTTTTCTACAGTAAAAAGCTCTCACAAACAATCACATATAACTTTTTTGCTACAGTAAAAAGCTCTCACATAAAGTCACATCTCAACTCGAATTAAAAACTCGAATCAATGAACTAAACAGGCCCTTAGTAAAAAAGCTTGAATTGTGGTTTAAACTCTTGAAACAATATATTTTGTTTTTAACGAAAATTATAAAAAAATATATATTTAAAAAATAAACTCAAAAACACTTGAATTATGTATAAATAAATTCTCAATTATGTATAAATAATAAAATACGCAAGCAATTTTTAACATGATCCCCAAGTTCCCATTCTCAAACTAGTTTAAAAAAATACATGAAAAAAAAGGTCATTACAGATGGACATGTGACAGAAGTCACAACTAAAAAATAACTATTAAAGCAAACACAGATCGGAGCCAAACTATTAGACGATTATCTAATAGTCTATCCTCAACTTGATCCACTTTTTTAAGCATTTAATCAACCATTCATTGTCACAATATTTAAAAAAAAAAAATCAACCACTAAACTCTTTTTTTTTTTTTTTTGGAAACCACCTCTCTTTGTACTCTCCATGTGATTCCACGACTCTTCTTCAGTTCATGAATCACTTTGAATTACAGTATTCAATTGAGTTTTACTTTGCTTACTCTCTCTCTCTCTCTCTCTCTCTCTCTCTCTCTCTCTCTCTCTCTCTCTCTCTCTCTCTCTCTCTCTCTCTCTCTCTCTCTCTCTCTCTCTCTCTCTCTCTCTCTCTCTCTCTCTCTCTCTCTCTCTCTCTCTCTCTCTCTCTCTCTCTCTCTCTCTCTCTCTCTCTCTCTCTCTCTCTCTCTCTCTCTCTCTCTCTCTCTCTCTCTCTCTCTCTCTCTCTCTCTCTCTCTCTCTCTCTCTCTCTCTCTCTCTCTCTCTCTCTCTCTCTCTCTCTCTCTCTCTCTCTCTCTCTCTCTCTCTCTCTCTCTCTTGTTGTTTAAGAGCATCACAGGAGAGTTTATTTATTTGAAAGAGAGGAAGAGCACTCATAAAAGAAAGAGAGAGATAGGTGAGAGATATGGGAAATCTCTCTCTTGTTGTTTAAGAGCATCACAGGAGAGTTTATTTATTTGAAAGAGAGGAAGAGCACTCATAAAAGAAAGAGAGAGATAGGTGAGAGATATGGGAAATCTCTCTCTTGTTGTTTAAGAGCATCACAGGAGAGTTTATTTATTTGAAAGAGAGGAAGAGCACTCATAAAAGAAAGAGAGAGATAGGTGAGAGATATGGGAAATCTCTCTCTTGTTGTTTAAGAGCATCACAGGAGAGTTTATTTATTTGAAAGAGAGGAAGAGCACTCATAAAAGAAAGAGAGAGATAGGTGAGAGATATGGGAAAGATGAGAGAGAGTGAAGTACACAGAAGAGAGAAAATATGGGAGAGGAAGAGAAAGTCTTGTGGGAAAGTTAACAATAACGGCAGGCTCCGTTTTATTCTTTTAGTAGTTCTTTTAATTGAGCTAATGTGTCAAAACTGTACCGAGGGGGCAGAGACGAAGACAGAACAAGGAGACAGACGATCTGGGTCCACACAGATTAGAACACAGGAGCAAAAATCAAGCAATCCAAAAAGAGCAATCCTAGAGGAAACAAAAAAGCAAAAACCTTCCATTGCCATCGAAAACACAGCTACTTCTAACAACAACAGCTACAGCCCATGCAAGAAGCAGATCTTCATCCTATCGGGGCAGAGCAACATGGCTGGCCGCGGCGGCGTAGACCAGACGCGCCACCGCTGGGACGGCGTCGTTCCATTGGAGTGCCAGCCTCACCCCTCTATCCTCCGCCTGAGCGCCAAGCTCAACTGGGAGCCCGCCCACGAGCCCCTCCACGCCGACATCGACACCAACAAGACCTGCGGCGTGGGCCCCGGCATGTCCTTCGCCAACGCAGTCAGGGAGCGCGTGGGGCTGGTGCCGTGTGCGGTGGGCGGCACCGCTATCAAGGAGTGGGCGCGTGGGGAGCACCTCTACGAGGACATGGTGAGGAGGGCCAAGGCGAGCGTGGCGGTCGACGGCGGGGCTGAGATCAGGGCGTTGCTGTGGTACCAAGGGGAGAGTGACACGTCGACCGAAGATGACGCGGCGGCGTACAAGAGGAACATGGAGAGGCTCATTCACAATGTTCGGGAGGATCTTTGTCTGCCTGATCTTCCAATCATCCAGGTAAATTCGGCTCTTGTGTAATAAGAAGCAAATGTATGGAAATTGTCTGGATATTACAGTATATGGTTGACTTTTTTTTTTTTTTTTTTTTTTTTTTTTTTTGGATTTTTTAATTTTTTGTTTTTTTTTTTTTTTTTTTTTTTTTTTTTTTTTGGGAACTGAGTTTGGTTCACATTTGCCTACATGCATTTGTTTTTCTTCACGGCTAGCTATATGTTCTAGACTTCCAGTTAGGTAAAATATAATATTTTAGGGTAATTTGTAATCATGCTTTTTTTCCCCCCGATATTATGGTTGTGGTTTTAATTGTTAATATACATATTCTGATTGAGAGTTTGAGACAAAAACCATACGTGCATGTTAGTTTTATCATTTATGTTGGTATCAACTGTTTTTGTGGAGCTCGCACTTGCATATTCAAGCACTTAAGCGCCCAAATGGCCTATATATATTGAGAAAATAACCTTAACACGTAAGCATGTATATTTTTCACAGGTTGCACTTGCGTCGGGGGATGAGAAGTACTTGGAGAAAGTGAGGGAAGCACAACTAAGCATCAATATTCCCAATGTGGTGTGCGTGGACGCTAAGGGATTGCAACTACAAGATGACAATCTCCACCTAACAACCGAGGCCCAGGTTCAGCTGGGCTCTATGCTGGCTGAAGCGTATCTCTCCAACTTTGGAACAACATTGTAATCCATTCTTTGGCTTGAAACAATGACCATTAATGGTGTTGGAAGAATGTTTTGGGGTATTTTACTACATCATGAGGATGAAATAAAAATCAGGGAACAATGTCGTCGGACGTGGTATGGTAGGGTTGGATGTAATACTATCTTTTAAGACTCGTACCGGCACGCACTAAATCAGTAATATTAAAGACTTCATGTTACTAAACCAACTATGTAAAATACTTGTGCTAATCTATAGTACAAAGGTGCGGTATGAAATATTGTGGTGCAAAAAATTCGCTTCTGCTAGAAAGCAAAACTAAGGAATTCTGGTCATCAATTATGAGACAACAAAATGAATCCAAATCAAAACGGCTCCATTAATCAAAGCAACTCAAACAGAGCAAAACTAAGGAAGCTAGTCATCAACTAAAATATTTATTTCAATTTCTTCCAAAATTCAATAAAAGTTTTTTACTCCAATTAACAACTAACAAATGAACAGACACATACCCATAAAAAGCAGAAAAAAGTGAGTGGAGAAGAGATAAAAGGGAAATCCAAATCCACATCTCATAAACATATCCACATATTACGAATCCAAATCTGAGCAAGGATGGAGAGACAGAGAACCAAGAGGGAGATAGAAAGGGGGAGTGAGAGTTCGCTAGTAGGATTTCGGCAGCGAGATGGAGAAGTTCGACGGGAGGTGATTTCTCGGATGGGGTTTCAAATGAAAAGAAGAAGACAATGAAAGGAATGAATATGTGAATAGGGGCATTATCGGTATTTTGTTGTAATTAAATATTGGGTTTAAGGTTTTCTGACATTTATCAAATCTATTCTTAATTCCTGTTATTAGTTTATCACTCCCATTTCTGCTATTAATTTTAATTGATTGGTCCTATAACTACTTTTACCTATCATATTTTTCTTTCTATCATCTCTTCTTTTTATCAAACAACTTTAAACTCCGTTCATTTTACCAATTTAAATTTAAAATTTAAATTTTACTATAGTAAAAAATTTTAAAAAATAATCACATCTAACTTTTTTACTACAGTAAAAATCTTTAATATAAAATCACATCTCAACTCGAATTAAAAATTTAAATCAACGAACTAAACAAACTCTTAATTTATCATTTTTCATTCAATAATCTCTCCACCAACTTCATTTCTTCCTTTTTTTTTATTAAGACTTTAAAAGGAAATGCCACAAATTTTAAGTTTAAATTGACATATGTCAAGAAATATATAAATTCTTATTAAGAATACCACAATCACGTCATCATACTATATTTATAATACTAAATATACTCTTAATATATCGATAAGTATCCAAACACAATACTAATATTCAATTGAGATATCCGCCGGTACCCGACTACAAAACCGATATCCAACCATGATACCGTGTGGTATCTGGAGGACAACATCCAATTTTGGCGCCATTAGTCGCTGACGTCTACCAACTATCGACGCCAACTGAGTCACTGATATTTGGTCAAGAAATTGATTGGTATTCACTAAGATACCAGTTATCGATCGGTAACTACCAAGTCACCAGTTGGCAACCGTAAAAATTGTTTCGAAAACCACCGTTATCGACGGCCGCCAACCGGAAAACCAAATGACAGAAAGAAAAATCAACGATATCTAATCGAGATACCGGTTGGTAATGGCCAATGTTGGCGGTAGTCCAGCCATCATAGTTTCAGAGAAAATACTGAAACACAAATAATCCCAAAAAAATCCTTCAATATCAATTAAAACATGAAAAAAAATCTAACACAAGAGATTGGATCTCGAAAAATATCTATTTTCTCCGGGTAATCTTGTCAGATTTTGGTTTTGACATTCATAGAGAGTTGATAAGACATTGCAACCTGAGAATGCAGATCCATCGATCTGCTTCAGCGAATGACTCCGACCTCGCGACGGCCGGCCCAGCTTTGGTCGTCTTCTTCACTTAGTCGCGCCTCCATCCCGTTCTCGGTTGTCTGCATCAGCAAATCGTCGGAGCTCTGTTCCCGGAGATTTCCTTCAGCAAACGCCTGCGAACACCTCGCCTAAGAAGTACTCTAACCTCGCCACCGACTCTGACCTCGCGACGGCCTCGTAGATCTGGCCTCCGACTCCAACGGTGCAGCCTTCCTCGCAAATTCGCCGTGCACGGGGATAATCTGATTAGAGGAGCAGCGGTGGTGGATGCCTCAGAGTGGACTGCTGTGCACGGGAATGGGGTGTTTAAGTCCATAAAAATAATTTTTTAAAAAGTTCTACGGCATTATTCAATCCACCCAAAATACTTGCGGCAATGTCTCTAATTATCTCTTTTATTAAGGATGAACAAAAACCCAACAATACAACAAACTAACATATTCAACTCAGCCCATTATAACTCGAATCCGACCAACTCAATTAAAGAGATCAACTTAATCCACTAAATCCAACCACTAATTAAGTAGGTTTGAGTTGAGTTTTCTTTAACCAAACTTAATCCGAACCAATCAATTTATTTATATATAAATAAATATTTTTTACCTCATAATATATAATATTTATTTACGAATAAAGAAATAAGAACTAATATATTACTTCAATCAATATATAAAAATTAAAATTTGAGTTGATATTTTTATTATTATTTTTTTAAAAACAAAAATAAAATATATTTATGAAACATTTTTTTTAAAAGAAAAAAGACTTCACCACTATACTTTACCTCAAAAAAAAAGAAAAAAAAGAAAAAAAAAAGAGACTTCACAGCTATAAAGAAACACATCGGAGCATATGAGTTAAAGTCAAGCAATCCTCATTCCTAAGAGTCCGCTAAACCAAAAACCCCCCGCTGCCATGGAAAACACAGCTCCTTCAAACAACAGCAACAGCCCATGTAAAAAGCAGATCTTCATCCTATCAGGGCAGAGCAACATGGCGGGCCGCGGCGGCGTCGACCGGCGGCACCACCATTGGAACGGCGTCGTTCCTTTGGAGTGCCAGTCCGACCCCTCGATCCTCCGCCTGAGCGCCAATCTCCACTGGGAGACCGCCCACGAACCTCTCCACGCCGACATCGACACCAAAAAAACCTGCGGCGTGGGCCCCGGCATGTCCTTCGCCAACGCCGTAAGGGAGCGCGTGGGGCTGGTGGCTCTGGTGCCGTGCGCGGTGGGCGGCACCGCCATAAAAGAGTGGGCGCGTGGGCAGCACCTCTACGAGAACATGGTGAGGAGGGCCAAGGCGAGCATGTCGGTCGACGGCGAGGGCGAGAGCGAGATCAGGGCGTTGCTGTGGTTCCAAGGAGAGAGCGACACATCGACGCAACATGATGCGGCGGCGTACCAGGGGAACATGGAGAAGCTCATTCAGAATGTTCGTCAGGATCTTTGTCTTCCTGATCTTCCAATCATCCAGGTAATTAGGCTCTTGTGTAATTAGAAGCAAATGTATGCAATATTTGGCTATAAAGACTGTGGTTCACAATTTTTTTTAAAGAATCAAGTATAGTTTTTTGCATTTTCCTACATTGATTTTTTCACTACTAGTTAACAATGTTCTACTTATGTAAAATATATATTTTTTTAGGGGAAATATAATTCTTTTTAGAAGGTAAAATAGTAATTTATGATATACATGAATTTTTTCGCGTACGCGTATGATATTGTCATGTATTCTGATTGCGACAAAACGATAATGTATGTGTATTGATTTTATTTTATATTGATATCATGCTATTTAGTGAAGCTCACCTCCAATATATGTGTTCATTTTTTTTACAGTTAGTCATAATGTCTTGTGACTAAGTAACTAATTAACATTGTCAGCCAAAGAAAAAAGAAAAAAAAAACTACCCATTAATATATTTTGGGGAAAATAGGCAGCTTTAGTACCAAACTTTTTGTGTTGCGCTTAGATTTCGAACTGTCAAATGTGCGATATAAATCCCCAAACAAACGGAAAATAATGCTCCTGAGATCTTTACAATGCGCTTCAATAGTTGGAAAACATAAGAGCAACACTCTTAAAAAGTTTAAATAAAAAAAAAAAAAAAAAAAAAAAAAAAAAAAAACCTTAAAAAATTAAAAAAAAAAAAAAAAAAAAAAAAAAAAAAAAAAAAAAAACTCACTTAAAAAGTTGAAATCAGAACCGCAATATTTATGTATATGTAAATGAGAAAACAACCTTAAATAACACACAATCATAATCTAAAATTTCACAGGTAGCACTTGCGTCGGGGGATAAGAAGTACTTGGAGAAAGTGAGGGAAGCACAATTAAGCATCAACATTCCCAATGTCGTGTGCGTGGATGCTAAGGGATTGCAGCTTCAAGATGACAATCTCCATCTCACAACCGAGGCCCAGGTTCAGTTGGGCTCTATGCTGGCTGAATCCTTTCTCTCCAACTTTGGAACAACATTGCAATCTGATGGTGTTGGTTCCCATTCTTCGGCTTGATATGATGACGATTATTGGTGTGAGAAGTACACGTGTCTGAGATTTATGAACTAGTCATTGTGATGCTTCTTTCTTTGATCGCCTCGTTGTTGTTGTTATTGAATCAATTTATATTTGGTTCTTCTGTTATCTGGCCCCGGTTAGTGAGTTTCAACTTTTAAGTTTGTGTATCTTTAAGTCTAGTATATTTTATCAATTTAAGTGTTCAATTTTAATTTTATTACAGTTAGAAACTCTTAAAAAAATCACATTTAATTTTTTTTGTTACAGTTAAAATCTCTCACATAAAATCACATCTCAACTTAAATTAAAAATTTAAATTAACGAACTGAACGAGGTCTTAATATTAGAATCGAGTGGCGGAATGCTTAACCAATCGCCGTTTAGAAGTGTTCATCAAACCAATCAAATTGATCAAATCAAATAATCAAGCTGGCGGAATAAAACAGAATTGATCTCAAAACAAATATTTTTAAAAATTTTCCAAAAACTAACTAAAGTTACCTTGCAACTTTAATGGGCTCGGAGTGGATGAGACAAACTATGTTTATTAAGGTTTGGTTCGTTTCGCTGATTCGAGTTTAGAATTCAAGTTGAGATGTGATTTTATGTGAGAGCTTTTTACTATAATAAAAAAGATAAATGTGACTATTTGTGAAAGCTTTTTACTGTAGCAAAACTCGAATCAGCGAAACGAACGAAACCTAATAGTCTGTTTGTTTCGCGAGTTTGAACCAACTTCAAATATTTTACTTTAATATTTTCTCATAAGAAAAGTTTTTTCTCATTTCTTTTATAAGTTTAAATTACTGTTTAAATTTTTTTTACTACCATGTTAAATTTTGTTTAAATTTATGAATCAAACGGATCTTTAAATTTCTATTTAGACCTATTTAGACCTATTTATCCTTATTGTTGGAGTCGAGTGGCATGATGCTTAACCAGTCATCATCTAGGAGTGTTCATCAAATCAAATAAATTGATCAAACCAATTAATCAAGCAGAGTGAAACAAAATTGGGCACAAAAAAAGAAATGTTAATTTTTCAAAAGCAACTAAAGTTACCACGCATTTAGTGGGGCACAGAACGGAGGCGAGACAATTGTCTGTTGATAGCCCGTTTGTTTCTTCCTCTCGAGTTTGAACCAAATTCAAACCCTTTTGTTGTAATGTCTCTCTTTCACAAAAAAAAAAAAAAAAAAAAAAAAAAAAAAATCCTATACATAAATGTGTAACGATCCTTTAGGAGAAGACCAGCAACATTTTCAGGAATTTAGGAAGAAGGTTAAAGCATCAATGATTGAGGAAGAATCTTGTGGCAAAGAAGTGCTGAAGATTAAGTTTGAATGGCGTCATTGGAAGCTTGATCTCGTCGTGCTCTAGGAGAGGGAAGCGGATGATGTCTCTGGTTATCTCCAAGAAATCATATTTGCAAAGGCTATGTGTCCATATCTCTCTCTCTCTCTCTTTCCGTCTATTGACAGAAAAGTGAAGAAGACGATGGCGGCGGCTAGAGGGGAATGATAAACGACGCCGTTCAAAGCAGAGAAATAATTTTTCCTTTTTTTTCCCCCTTTTTTGAACGAATTTAATGGAGGAAACAGAGAGAGCTTGATAAAACGAAACGGTTGGTTTCATCCATATCACTTTGCTACTTTTGTTTTCCAGTGTTGTTACATTGTCGTTTAGTGTAATTTTTATTATGCATTTTTGTGTAAGAAGTTAAACTTTTGCGATTATAAATTTTATAATTTGGATGTGCACTGAATTATTATTTTTTTCTTTTCTTGTGTCTTTCTTTTTTGGTGAGTAATGCACTGAATCCACGGTTGGCATATGTAATACGTCTAGTTATGTTCCTTTTTTTTTTTTTATTTCCTTTCTTGTACAAGACAAAAGAAGAGTAAAAAGGGTTACCTTTTATAAAATTGGAACTTGGACGATGCAGAGGGTCTTGTAAGTCTAAAGTACGGATTGATTTGTCGGATTAGGAAATACTGTTATATCTTCAGGATTTAGTGAAGAAAGATACTAGTACTGCTGAACTTTTTTTTTTCTTTTTTGTTGTTAGAATACTAGTACTATTGATTGCAGGACCCGTTTAATTTAAATTAAATTTAAAAAAAATATTAAATTAAATTAAAAAAAAAATATTATGATAAAAAAATTTTATATTATTATAAAAATATTAAATTACAATTCAAGCACTCACCAAAACAAAATTGAATTACGATTCAAGCATTCACCAACCCCCAAAGGGCAAAATGTCATGTAGGTCCCACGGCACCAATTTGATACTTATGTATATGCTGATGCTGTCCTAAAAGATCTTCCACGCGCTCTTTTAGGAGCGTGAGTTAAGAAAATTTTTCTTTGTTTTTAGAAGAGGTTGGTGGTAATTGCCTGAGCCTATTACGCGACGAAGTGGGTTATTCCCAGACCCAAAAAAAAAAAAAAAAAAAGACAAAGTGGGTTGGTGCAAGGCGCATGGACTAGATATAGATATTACTTTTTTCAAAAAGAAAAAATTACAAATTTAACCATTATGGGCTTATTATTTTGCCCTTTTTAATTAGGTGATTGAAGTGTAGATTTTGAGTTGAATCTGAGTTATAATTTAAGTTGAAATTATAACTTGAGTTTGTGTTTGGTTGTGTATATTTGAGTTATAGTTTGAGATAAGAATCTTTTTGAGTTTGTGTTTGAGTGAGTCAAAACTTGAATTTGTATTTAAATAGTATTTTAATAAAAACTCAATACTAACGGAAAATTTTAATAGGGTATATGGGTGGAATTTTATTCGTCTTTTCGTTGTCAGCGCATAGAAAAAAAAAACATCTCAATCAGAATTAAAACAAAAAAGTTATAGCATTTTTAAGAATATAAAAAATACTATTCATTAATTTGAGTTCGAATTTCTGAACTCGAGTTGAAGAGAAAACTTGAACTCGAATTTTAGTCTCAAACTCGAGTTCAAACTTAAAAGAACATGAACTTGAATAAAGTTATAACTCGAGTTGTTTTTTTTTAGTTTTCAATTCTGTTATTTATATTACTATATAAAATTTTAATATCACCACAAAAAATAATTTACAGATTATAAAAAAATAACTTATAGGTTACAAAAAATAACTGATAAGTTATGAAGTATAGCTTACAAATTATAAAAAAATTTACAAATTACAAAAAATAATCTACAGATTATAAAAAGATAATTACATATTATTAGTGTCGAGATAAATTTATAACAGTAACAAAAATAAAAAAGTGTTACTTTAATGATGAAATTTTTAGTTTTTTCTCTTTTAAAAACTAGTTGTAAGCACCTTCTAAAGTTAATTCACTTTCTAAAGTTTAAAGTCAACAAAATTATCAATTTATATAGTAGTATAATTATCTTTTTGCTTCAATTGAGATTTTTAAGTTTGAATTATTAGTGTACTAAAGGGTCAAAATTTATGGTAGACTCTAAATATTTAAAAAGTTTATAAATAATATATATATATATAGAATTAAAATTTGGGTTCTCTAATAGAATTTGGGAGATAATTGAAAATATTTTTAAAATAGATGTAAAAACTATAATTATAAAATTTCAAGGGGCAACTTAAAGGAACAAGTGCAGGAAACAAAATTTTAGGAAGTAAAATTTAAAAGAGCCACTTAGAAGTGCAATTGAAAAACAACATTGTTCTGACATAAATATGTGCAAACAAATAGAACGTGTATGCATAAAATTATTTTCGCGAGGAAATTAGACATGAAGTTAATCAAGCGATATATATTAAAAATACTATTTAAGAACAATAAAAAAATGTTTAAATAGAGACATACTTAAGACAAATTATCTTAAATAACAAAAAAAAAAAAAAAACCTCAATAGGAACTAATTAGATATATATATATATATATATATATATGAGAAAATAATAGTTGAAAAGAGTCGATGAAAAAAATGTAAAAAAAGAGTCGTTTGAGAAAAAAAATGTTTTAGCATACTATTTAAAAATAAAAATGATTTAGAAGGATCACTTTTGATGTAATAAAGATTAGGTGAAAAAAATTAAATAGAGAAACATGAAAAAAAGTTATTTTAATATGAACAAGTAGCGAATAAATATTTCAAAAAACCACATCAAAAAAGAAATAAATCGTGAATGAGCATTTGTTAAAAAAGGGAAAAAGAAACAAAAAAAAAATTAATGACGTATGTTTAGAAGACATATTGTAACAACAAATAAGCAAAGAAAGGGAAAAAAAGAAAAAGAAAAAGAAAAAAAAGAAAAAAAAAGATGGGAGTTGATACTTGAAGAATAGAGGGTAGTATGTTAAAGATTAAAAAAAAAAAAAAAACTAATAAACCTGCTAATCTAGCGAGAGGAAAAATCGGAAACTATTTCTTATAACTAATAACTTGCTTGAAGTCTCTCTCCCTCTCTCTCTTATCTCTATTTTTCTCTCTCTATTCTCTGCTAGGGACTCACTTGGTTCTTGTTGCGCCGCCCTCACTTTTCCTTAGGCCAAAGTCTGATGCCGCCGGCCTTGGGTTGACCGTTAGATCTCTGGACTATGAGAAGGGGCGGTGCACAGTTTCAGTTTGCAGCAGAGGGGACTGCAATTGGGGAATGATCGTATAGGTGAAGGTGGTTCGTGCCTATGATTCTCGACCTTTTTAGATTGAGATCGCAACTGTTGGAAGTCGGTGATCAAAGGACGAGATCCTTTAATGGTGGCCATGTTTGTCTTCTTCGGATCGTGGTGACATGTCTGCTTTAAAATTTTAATAATTAAAAACAGCATGCGCATATGTAAATGTTAAATATTAATTTAATAATTAAAAACAGCAGTTTCTACTAATAGAATAAAAATATAAATTTATCATAAAAAAATAAAAAAAAATCTAATAGAATTAAAAATAATAAATTATAAGTAATTTTTTATTTTAAACTGTTAAATTTATATTAAAATTTATATATCATAAATATTTTTTTAATTTAATATAATTTTAATTAAATTTAATAATCAGACTCCATTAGAAAAAAAAAAAAAAAAAAAAACCCTAATGTATAATAAAAAGAAAGAAACAAAAACAAGTTCACACCTTTCTCAAAAAAGGAAAAGGCCAGTTTTATTGGCCCTTTTCCCGTGCGCACGCAGCAGCGCGTGTGGGGCTTCCTTAGTTAAAACGCAGGTAGGTCGCTCGTTCTTTCTTTATTTTATTTTATTTTTCTCTAATAACCATTCCCCAAGTGCCCGCCTACTCCACCTATAAAACCCTTAGACACACTCACTGCTTTTACGTGTTCTCATTTTCCTCAAATCACCGCCGTCCCCCGCCAATGGCTACCTCCTCAGCTTCCCAATCCCTCCGCCTCCGAAACCCTACCACCACCACCACCTCTCTTTCTCTCTCCTCCAAGCTCCCTCTCTCCTCTGCCTTCTCCGTCTCCCTCCGCCCCCGCCGCGCTTCCTACCGTCGCCTCGTCCTGGTCGTCTCCGCCGGCCTCGACGCCAAACCGACGATCCTCGTCGCCGAAAAGCTCGGTGAGGCTGGCCTTAACCTCCTCAAGGACTGCGCCAACGTCGATTGCTCCTACAACCTCTCCCCCGAGGAGCTCTGCACCAAGATCTCGCTCTGCGACGCCCTCATCGTCCGCAGTGGGACCAAGGTCAGCCGTGAGGTGTTTGAATCCTCCGGAGGCAGGTTGAAGGTCGTCGGTAGGGCCGGCGTGGGTATTGACAATGTGGATCTGGCCGCCGCCACCGAGCATGGCTGTTTGGTCGTGAATGCGCCGACTGCCAACACTGTCGCCGCCGCCGAGCACGGGATCGCTCTCTTGGCCGCTATGGCTAGGCGCCGAGCACGGGATCGCTCTCTTGGCCGCTAAGCTGACGCCTCCGTTAAAGCCGGTCAGTGAGTTTTTCTTCTTCTTTTTTTCTTTTCCTTGTCTTTTTTGTTAGTTTTCGTTTTTATTTCAATATCTTGAACTTTATTTTCTTTAGAGCATTTCGTCGAGCAGTTTGTATGCGGCGCAAGATGCTGTTTGTTTTGGGAATTTCGTTTGATATTTTTCAGTAGTAGAGTTTGGTTAGTGTCCCTGGGATAACGAAACAGCCTTCATGTTTTAGATGGTGTAATGTGACGGAAAGATTTATTGAAAATGCAAAAGATTCTGTTTTGACTTTGGAGAACATGAAAGGTGCATTAAAAAAATCATTAAAAGTATTTTTTTTGCTTGTCTCAAAAAATTAGAGTTTGTTCAGATCTGTTTGGCTTTTGGTTACAGTAGTTTGTCTAAATATAATAGGCAAGAAATGGTGTCAGCAATGTTTTGGTTTCTCTCCATTTCGAAGATCAGTTCCATTTTCCCTGCCTTTGATATTCAAGATGGAGAAGCCGACCAATTTTTGTGATTTGCACGCCTGAAGATTATCAACTGATTGAGATGCAACGTTTTTTCTGTTGTACCGTGCCTATCTCAACAACTTACTGATTTAGATTCTTTATTTGGTCGATCCAGGCAAGTGGCAGAGGAACAAGTATGTTGGTGTATCGCTTGTTGGGAAAACACTTGCGGTTATGGGTTTTGGAAAAGTTGGCACTGAAGTTGCCCGGAGAGCCAAGGGACTCGGTATGCATGTTATTGCACATGATCCATATGCCCCAGCTGATCGTGCCCGTGCAATTGGCGTGGAACTTGTGAGCTTTGATGAAGCCTTATCCAAAGCGGATTTCATCTCATTGCACATGCCTCTCACGGCTGCCACATCAAAGATTCTCAACGATGAAACTTTTGCAAAGATGAAGAAAGGAGTCCGCATTGTTAATGTTGCTCGTGGAGGAGTCATCGATGAAGATGCCCTAGTGAAGGCGCTGGACGCTGGAATTGTTGCACAGGTGTGTGTGTGCTCAATCAGAAGAGTATACATGCTTTTGCTGAGGAAAGTAAATTACATAATCCTTTTCTTTCTTCCACTGTAGGCTGCCCTTGATGTTTTTACCGAGAAGCCACCAGCTAAAGACAGCAAGCTTGTACTGCATGAGAAAGTCACAGCAACTCCTCATCTAGGTGCCAGCACTATGGAAGCACAGGTAGTTTAAATGAACAGATTTAAGATCAGTGATGTTTATATTTCTTGTCTTCTTATTACCTGACCTTACTATCTTATGTAATGCTTGGATTTGATATGCAGGAAGGAGTAGCTATTGAAATAGCCGAAGCTGTTGTTGGAGCCTTGAGAGGAGAGCTTGCTGCCACTGCAGTCAATGCGCCAATGGTTCCTGCTGAGGTATTGCTAGAAGTCTTAGTCATTTGACTCATTTCTAGCTGTCTCTTGTTGTAAAATTTGACAGCATTATGGTCGTACTGTCTGCTATATTATTGATTTGTAAATAATGCTTTCTAAACGGGAATGTTTAGATAATCATATATTTCAGTTTTTACCTTGATAATTGTTTATATGATTTTCTACACGTGTTTCTGTAGTTTGTGGCTCCATTCTTAGTCATTTGTCAAATTACTTCAGATTGGTGTCAGAGTGACATTTGTGTTCTTTGTTTGCAGGTTTTGACAGAACTGAAGCCTTTTGTTGAGCTTGCTGAAAAACTCGGGAGACTTGCTGTCCAGTTAGTAGCAGGAGGAAGCGGTGTAAAGAACGTAAAAGTGACTTATGCTTCAGCTAGAGCTCCTGATGACCTTGACACTAGGCTGCTTCGTGCCATGATCACCAAGGGTCTCATTGAGCCCATATCAAGTGTGTTTGTGAACTTGGTTAATGCCGATTTCACTGCTAAACAGAGAGGACTTAGAATAACTGAAGAGAGAGTCATTTTGGAAGGTTCACCTGAGAGTCCACTTGACTTCATTCAGGTCCAAATTGCTAATGTGGAATCCAAGTTTGCCAGTGCCATTTCAGAGACTGGGGAGATCAAAGTGGAGGGACGTGTTAAAGACGGGATTCCTCATCTGACAAAGGTTGGGTCGTTCGAGGTCGATGTGAGCTTGGAAGGCAGTATCATACTCTGCAGACAGGTTGATCAGCCTGGTATGATTGGAACAGTTGGAAGCATTTTGGGACAAGAAAATGTTAATGTTAGTTTCATGAGTGTCGGAAGAATTGCTCCAAGAAAGCAGGCGGTGATGGCAATTGGAGTGGATGACCAACCAAGCAAGGAGGCTTTGAAGAAGATTGGTGATGTTCCGGCCATTGAAGAGTTTGTTTTCCTCAAGTTGTAGTGTATGTCGTCACATTATCGCAATATTTTTCCCCCAGGGCTTTTGGTTTCTCCTTCGTAGTGGGCATTATTCCTACATCTGTAGCCAGATTTTGATTATTTCTCCCCTTTTTTCCCCTTCTTTTTGCGGGTAGGTTTAGAGTGAGGATGAGGAAAGAATAATAATTAAGGCTATTGATAAAATCGAGCAAAAAAAAAAAAAAAAAGGCTTGCGATAAAAAAAAGAATGTGCTTTTTATTTTTATTTTTATTTTGGGAGATGTCATTGTTATCCTTAATGCTAGTCCATGTTTTCTTTTTGCAATGCCCTATGGATCTGCTGCTGCTTTTTCATTATTCTTTTTTTGCATTTTAGCAGCTCGTCTTGTTCTGTTGTGCAGCTTCTTTTTTTTTTTTTTTTTTTTTTTTTGTGGTAATCAGTCACGTGTCTGATGTTATTTTTTGGACAGATAACAAATTAGGACTAACATTCCAAGTTCGGAGAGCTTTGACTCATTTGAAAAGTTATGGGCAAGTTAGTGAATAAGTGATTTTGAGTTCAATACATCAGTCTTTAGGGGATGCAAGAGAATTTCAAGCGAAAAAAAAGAAAACAAGGAAACGAAAACGTACCATGTTAAATTTTCTTAATGAATCTCTATCATGCAAGGATATGACAAATAGGACGTGCACGCTTAGGTTTGATTTATGTTTTCCAAGAAAGCAAATAGCGCAATGACAAGCAAATGAACTCTCAGATAGCTTCATTTTTTCGGACAAACATTGGAGACATGACATATTTCTTTGAAAACATAGGCAATTTACCCTTAAAAATATATAAGTTTAGATTTTTATTTCTTACTCTTGATAAAAAAAATTTTATTAGTGTATTATTTGACTAAAAAATTATAAATCAAGAATGAAAAGTAAAAATTCTGATCTATACACTTTCAAAAAGTATTTGTCAAGATTACCTAAATCTTTTACCCAAAAATAAATATATATGCGTCTTACTCCTTTCAAATCTTTTACCCAAAAATAAATATATATGCGTCTTGTAAGAACAAAGAAGATTGAGAAAACGAAAGGCGTCCCAAATTTTGCTCATCAGAGATGGATATTGGACTATAAAAGCGTATAATTCTTCTAGAAATCGTTGTAACTATGAACATTTCAGGCTATGAGCTCCGAACAACTTCACTTCTCCAACTCAACATTCTCTCTTTAAGAAATTTATTAAATAGCTTGACCGAGATTCTTAAACGAAGCATCATCGAATTACTCAACATCTTCATTCAAATTCTTCAAAAGACCAATCTTATATATATATATATATTGCCTTCTCCTAAGCAAGAGAACACGCAAAGCTTGGTTCTTTAGTGTGTGAACCCAGAAAGGAAAGGAACCTCGGTCGGCAGGGAGAAGTGGAGGTTATGAACTGCTATATAGGAAGCAACGCCAGCAGCATAACCTGCAAAAGCAAAACCACTCACCTGCAATAGCAAACGAGTCAATTCAGTATCCCGACGAGTAAAATGAAATTCCAATGTGATATTCGATACGGGCTGATGGTTAATTACCTTCCGCAGGTACCAGAAGAAGTCCACTTTTTCCATTCCCATTAATGCAACTCCAGCTGCAGAACCAATGACTAGCATTGATCCACCAGTTCCGGCGCAAAATGCGATCAGCTGCCAAAATTCAGAATCTCGGGGGAATGAGGATAGATCATACATCCCCATAGTTGCAGCGACCAGTGGAACATTGTCTATAACTGCTGATACAACCCCTATTGTGCTGGCGATCAGTTCGACATTTGGAATATGTGCATCCAGGTAATTTGCTATTTCACGAAGAATCCCAGCTGCCTCCAGGCTATAAAAGAACAATTCAAATTTGTAACAATGCACAAGAGGGAGAGACAAAAGGCATAAATTTTTTGGATTCTCATCATTCACTTGAATTCTTCTTGGAAGATATGTTAAAATCATGTCACATTCAGTAAGAATTGTACTTTTGACTCCAAAAAAAGTCCGAACTCTTGAAAATGTTGATATGTTCACCTGCTAACGGATAAAAGGATGCCAAGGAAGAAAAGTGCTCCTTGAGTGTCAATCCGCGACAAAGCCTGGGGTACTTTTAACTTTTGCCTTTCTGATTCACCATAATGGATAGCATCGGTGAGAATCCAAAGAACTCCAAGTCCAAGAAGCATGCCCATGTACGGAGGCAACCCGGTTAGGGCCTTAAACACCGGAACAAAAACTAAAGCTCCAATGCCCACAGAGAAAACAAGCTGTCCCCGAGGAGCCATCTGTTCAGATGCCAAAACAGGAGAGTCCTGCCCTTTCCCATTTACTTCACTGTAGAAAAGAAACTCATAAAACATTATCAATGTGGCGTTACAACATTACAAATGCATCATAATTCGAGTGGTTTAATGAAATTTGCATATATCAGCTTGCATAGATTCACTCTGATAATGCAAGAAGAGTACCTAGTTAGAGACATAAGAGCCAATGGGACAGCTAAAGATATGGCTGAAGGTATAACCAAACCCTGTAACCAAAGAATGAAAATTCAATGTCAGAAGGGTGATAAAGTTCTTGAAAAATGATAATCTATGTAGAAAAGGTCTCTGAAACTGAATATCTATCTGCTTCAGGTGGTTTTAATTCTGGTTAAATAGAAATATGCAGAGAATTATTATTTCTTCATTCACAAGCCAATATGATATTCCAATCAATATTTATCAAATGAAATCCCCAATTCTCTATGCATGAGCATTTGGATAACACAAAACATAAATGCGTACGCGCATGACATGTTTAACAAGTTGATAAAACAGACCTTCATTGTCTCCAATGTTGATATCTGACCATGTATCCATAGCATAGTAGTGGTAACGTCACCAATTGGAGTCCATGCACCACCTGCATTTGCTGCTATAACGACAACAGCTCCTAAAAGCCTGAACAACTAATTCAAATTCTGTAAATATATTGCAGAGAAAGTGACTTTGCATAAAAGTGGTTAGTGACCAAACAAATCTGATTCACGTATATTCAACATTCTATAACTGTTGAAGGACAGGAGGGATGCATTATTTGCAGTTTCAAGTTTCAACATTTCTAGAGGAACACTCCTTGCAATCTTCATCACCTGGTTACAAACTTTCATCTTCCCTTCAATACTTCCATAGGGAACCTTTTGAAGGGAATGCTCAATTAACGAATAACAACCGGCATTTATCTCAGACCATTGGAGATAAAAAACTAAATGCATATCTGGAGGTTTCAATAAAAGTTATTGAGCCATTCCAATATGTTAAAAGATGAAATAATCGTTTTCAAAAGGTGTAACGAACATGGACACTAGTTCTGTTGCCTCAGATATACACACAAAAGATATAAATGATATATAACAAACTTCCTTTTTTTTTTTTTTCTTTTCCCATATATTAACTTGGAAACTCGATAATCTAGTCAGCAAACAGAATTTTGTACCAAAGATAATTTTGTACAAAGATCCACTCCTACGAGATAATAATATACTATATGATCCGTACATACTTTCTGTATTCTGATGGAGGCACTAGTTTCCGCAGTAAAGAAACCATGACGATGGTAGATGTTAGATTGTCAAGGACTGAACTGAGAAAGAAAGTCACAAAACCAACCTACATTGCCAATAATTACTAGTCAAATGCCACTGACTAAAATATAATGACCATAAAATGACAAGAAGCAACAGCAAAATTATGGATAAAATGATAAGTACACCTCCATGGAAAGAAGTAATATAAGTGTCTCAACTAGCAAAATGAAAAATGCAAAGCTCTATATTTGAATCATGGAGGAGTACAGCAATCCTTATTTGATGAATTTGTTATTGCCCACAAGAAATATCATTGAGAAATGCAGGAATATGTCTGAGCTATTATAAAGAGGATTTTGCAAACAACCATTTAAATTCTTCATTTAACTCCTTGTAGGAGCAACAACCTATATTTGTGGTTTTCTCCAACATCTTGTTTACCAAATGATCCAAAGTTCAAATAATGAGCCAATAGTCTAAAATGTACAACAAAAAGGATCTTTTAATACAAAGATTTAGGCAGAAAGCACTCACCACCCAGAGTAGAATTCGTGGTTTTCTAGTTGTTATATTATCTGTAACTAACTTGAACCCTTGATGGGCATCGACGATCTCTACAATGGTCATTGCACCAAGTATGAAAAACACTATTTCACTGACTTCAGCAGATGCACGTGTTAGCTCTGAAACAGCTACTTCAGTTGAAGGAGCCTACGCAAAAAATCAAAAGAGACAAAAAATACCTCAAAAAGCAATCAATAAAATGCAGATAAATACAAATGCATCTTAGTAGATATAAGTTCATTTGGGTAGCGAAACGCATAAACTCCATATGATGCACCAGGCCTAGTCGATTCATGACTATGAGTATCAGGTAAATGAAGAGTTTTTTGGGTGCAACTATCAATGATAAAGCAACATGTCCTTTTCTTTTACTCACCTTTCTTTCTTGAAACTGATCGATAAGAGAAGCAAATGTCATTGCTAATTCCAACTAATTTTTATGAACCTTACCCCAATGCTTCGTATTACCCACAGGCTCACAGCCATCAGTAATCCTACTCCACTTTTGTTGAAGGCTAGAGATTCTTCAAAAATGATGCCTGCATATCCTATTCCAAACAACAATGCCATTGCAAGATCCTGTTTTATGAGATTTGGTCAAGTTGACTTGAGGTTGAAATAGACCATATAACCCACAAACGGAAGTTTCTCTTCTCAAAAGATAGATAATAAAAGATATATATACCTGATTAGCTGCAACCCAGGACTGATTAATTGCCACTGTCCCTGCTACAGCTGCTGCAAATATTGCAAGAGCTTTCAGCAAATCAGTCTTTGGCTGGTAATTCACTTCGAAATCACTTGAGCTTGTCTCGTCAACCGAACACAAAGGATCGCACTGGCCGGAACTTGGGGTCAAGGCCTGATGATAATGCTAACTAAATGATTAAATTCCAAGTGTGATTATCAACATGTAACTCCTAAACATTGAAAATTATCACAGTATAAGGTGAATTAAAGTATAGACACAATTATACAGGAATTGTTTGTCTTAATTAATAAAGTTCTTTTTAAGAATCTTAGAAAAGATTAAAATGCATATGCTGAACAAAATTTATTAAGTCCAACATCCATAAACTAGCAAACTTGTTCAACAAGGATTCAAGACCTTACCGATTCAAACAACAAATTTATCCCGTTTCACTAATTGAACAAACTCTTTCAGCCTTTCACTAATTACCCAATTCCATTCTAATTTCCATCAAAATAAATACGAAAAGAACAACCTGAAATTGATTGTCGGAGTTGAATTGAGCTTGCTTCTGTTGAGCCGAAGAAGAAGAAGACGAACTCTTGGCCTTATCTTCAGCTCGAGCTAAGAGGACAGTGCCAAGCAACCTGGGAGTTCTTATTCGACGCAAAGATGAGCCAAAGCAAGGCTTTGGTAGAAATGAGGATTGGGTTTGGAGGGAAGAGAGAGAACAGAGTGAACGTGTCTTGAAATGGTGGGAAGGCGACAAATTGGTCCCGATTGAGGTGGAAGCCATTGGAGCGTAGATTGAAGAAACCAGAAGACAAGAGAAGCTGAGAAATTGAAGAATGATTTGGTTGGTGGGTTTTCTGGAGTGAATGTTTTACGCAGTCATCAATTCAATCCTTCATTGTTGTTGAGTCGTGGAGTGGAAAGAAGATGATGTTTGTTTGCCATGGCCATGGGCAGGCACTATTTCTTCTAGTGAGTGAATGAAAAAGCGGCAACCGTTTAAGCTAGGGCTGGCAATTTTAGACACGACACGATGAAACGACACAAAAATGACATGAGATAAATAAGTTTAAACCGCACGATTATTAATTGGGTCGTTAACGGGCTGACACGAATAACACGAAAATAAACGGGTTGGATTCGTGCCAGCTCGTTTAACACGCTTAATCCGTTTAGTTATACGGGCCATAATCGGGCCGACACGACACGACCCGTTTATTAATCTATATATATATTTATATATTTTTTTAAGATAAAACCCTAGCTTCTCTAATTCTCTTTCTCTCATTCTCTCATTCTCTCACAGCTCGTTTTATTTATATTCTCTCATTTGCATGAAGGGTGTTTGATAAAAGGGTTAACTTAATTTAACACTCTAACTTTTAAATAAGTTATGGTATGTTGATAAAATTACAAAATGCCAATGGACTTGTAGATGGACTTGTAGATGATTGATTACAAAATGCCAATGGATGATTTGTAATGGATAAACCTAAACTTTAAATATGTTTTATGCTTAATATTAAATATGCCAATGGACTTGTAGATGGTTGATTATGTTTTATGCACTTAAATTTTTAAATATTTGGTTATATTTTCAAACTTATTTAAATGTACTTGGTTATGTTTTCAAACTTTTTTAAATGTTTAGTAATTGGTATGTTTTGAAACATATATCATAAGTGATGTTTTAGATATTTTAATGTGTGTTGGCTATTATGCATGATTTTAACTATAAGTGATATTAAGTAGTCAATTAATATAGTTTTGAATACAATATAAAATTAACTATTTTTGCTAGTTGGGTCATAAACGGGTCATAAACATGTTTTTTTCGTGTCGGCCCGTCACGGCACGTTTAATAATCGTGTTCGCGTGTCGTGTCGTGTTAACCGTGTTATTAACGTGTCGTGTTCGTGTTTGGGTTTCTGACACGTTTATTAATCGCGTCGTGCCGTAATCGTGTCGGCCCGAACACGGCCCGCGAACACGAATTGCCAGCCCTAGTTTAAGCTATCAATGACTATCATCCTGTTTTTGGGATTAAAAAAGGCTCTTTTTATTTTTTATTTTTTATTTTTTATTTTTTTAGAAGAATGGAAATCAACAAGGCTATTATCTCTTTCAGGGATAATGTTGACTGTTGTTCGTTGTTCACTTGTTACCAACGTTTTTTCCCTAATAAGAAAGATAATTTGTTTTGAGAAGTTTTTTTAATTTATTTTTTAAGGGATTTATATGAAATTTTTGTGTTGTTAGTTTGTAGATAGTTATTTCTAGAGGAAAAAAAGGTGTATAATAATAATTCTCAGAAAATGAAAAGAAAAAGAGAGAGAGAGTGATTCTAATCACACCCCATAAATGATATGTTTTTTCAAAATACAATCTAGTGTACTATGAATAAATAAATGTTGAGATTTTCAACCAAAAATAAAATAAATGTTGAGAGCCACATTAAGACTGGTGTTATAATTGACTATTGGCGAAAGTAATCATGTAATGTTTGTTTAGATTATTATCAGTGTGCCAAAATTTTAAGGATCTTTTAAGTTTATCACTCTCACTTATAGAATAAATTTTGAATTGTTCTCATTTCATCACTTTTATTAAAATTTTTGTTAAAAATTATAAAAAAGGGAGAGGAATGTAGTCACGTATTTTTTTTATTTAAATATCTGTTAAAAATAAATAGATAAGAACTACGTGAACACACTTAACTAAATTCTTTTTTTGGGTCTCATTTTAACATAAATTCTTAAGAAAATGGCTTAAATAGAACTAATTCAAAATTAAGAGGTAAAGTGAAAAATTTTAAAATCTAGAAGTAAAGTGACCTTAAAATTCAAGGGATGAGATTAACCCTTTTTGTTTGTTCACGTTAAAAATAAAATCTGCCATTGAAAGTATAAAACTACAAGTCGTTTATACGCAAGGTTTTCAGCTTCTAACAGAAACAGCATGTTTTTATTTGAATGATGTCGTTTTTGTCTAAATTTTTGTCATTAACGTTAATAAAAAGTTGAACGCTCGTTACATTTCTTTTAGCAAAAGTAAGTTGTTGCCTAAATGAAACGTTGTTGCCTAAATGAAACGGCTGCCATTCAACTCAAAACCATCAAACTACCTTCATTTTCGTTGTAAACGACCTGTCGTTTTTATCTCAAAGCTTTTCGTTGCTAGCGTTTGATAACATGTCCGGGTTGTTCTTTTACATTTTTGAGTTAGGATGATTTGAGTGATGATTTTAAGTTATAATTTGAGTTAAAGTTGTAACTTGAGTTTGTGTTTAGATGTGCATATTTGAGTTATGATTTGAATTGATAATCTATTTGAGTTTGTATTTAAGTAGGTCAAAACTTAAATTTGTATTTAGATGGTATTTTAATAAAAACTCAATAGTGATGAAAAATTTTAATAGGGTATATAGGTGAAGTTTTATTCGTCTTTTCATTGTGAATGCATAGAAAATAAAAAATCATCTCAATCAGAATTAAAACGAAAAAGTTATGATATTTTTAAGAATAAAAAAATACTATTCATTAACTTGAGTTTGAGTTTAAACTAAAGTTGAAGGGAATACTTAAATTCTAATTTTGCCCCAAACTCGAGTTTAAACTCAAATTTTATAAAAGAACATAAACTTAAACAAAATTATAACTATAGTTCAAACTTTTTGCGAGTTTCGTTGTAAAAAAACAACCGCCGTTGTTTGAATAGTTGCTGCCGCTTATTACAGCGAATAGTGTCGTTATTACATCTCAATAGTTGGTTCATCTTTCAAACAACGAGGTTTTAACTCAAAATTCTTTCATCAAAAAGGTTTATACACACAAAATTGGGATTAAGTTAGTGATCCCATCATTATTCTTGCTGCTTTATTATTAAAACCAAAAGATGACATTAGCTAAAGGAATAATACTTGCAACATCAATTTTAATCCCTATTTTTAGATTAATTCTTAACTTGTCATTTTTTTAATAGACATTTAAAAGATTATCTCATCAATTAATAATGATATATTGTATTTACTAATAAAAAAATAACAACTTAAATTATTTTAAAAGGTTGGGATTATTATTGGTGTCCTAGCAATAATCTACTGGAGATTTTTTTTTATTTTTTATTTACTATTTTGTTGTTACTTTTTATTCATTACAATTTAGATTCTATTTATCACTTAGATTTAAATCACAATTTAAATTCTTTTTTAAAAAATTTAAATTTCTATTTAAATTTAAGAATTTAGATTCTATTTATCACTCAGGTTTAAATCACAATTTAAATTTTTTTTTTAAAAAGCTTAAAATTCTATTTAAATTTAAGAGCCTCTTTTCTGTTATTACATTACGTGGATACACGTTTTTACGGGAAACAACATAAATAAAGTGATTGTCTAAGAAAATGCTATACATAAGAAAATATTCTTGGCCAAATCACATATTGCGCACTTATAATTTGTGGCATAGTTTTTGATCCGGCTGTTTGCCGTTTTAATCCGATGGGAAAATTGTAGCCATAAGATCAAAATGAACGTTTCGAATTTTATGGATGGAGCAAAAGAATGCCTATAATCTAGGCCTAGTACTTTGCAGGCGCTAACTTTTGGTGGACAGATGTTAGTAAGGGAGCCAAAGGGAGCTGACGCTGTCCGAGAAAAAGTTGACAAATGAAGATGGTTTAGGGAATAAATTATTAATATTTAAATAAAATAAAAAGTATAGATGTAAAAATGGTTAAATAAAAAACAATTTATATAGTTGGTAAAATATAAAAACATGCTAGAAAATTTAGATGCAAGGAATGTGGGAGGTAGTGTCACCCCCTGAAGTCAGGATCGGTGACGTGGATGCTTGATTAAGAATTAAACACTTAATAATTAAAATTGACAGTGAAATATTAAAAAAATTTCTAAACGAGTTTCACTATTTTACCGAAAATAAATGACAAGAACATCTCGGGAATGATCCAACGTACCTTGGCGCAAGTTTCTTGTTCACTCCAAAATGAACAACTCCTTTGCGTGGAGAAACCTTTAACAGAACGAAGTCACCTTCCTGAAATTCTAACAACCTACGCCTTCTGTCAGCTAGCTCTTCTAACAACTTTGAGCTGTTAACAATCGCTCCTGAATCACAGCTATCTTCTCGTTGTTCTCTTGAATGACTTCTGGTCCAGTCGTAAGTCGATCCTCTGGTTCCAACAAACAAACAGGTGATCTATACCGTCGACCATAAAAAGCTCTAGACGGTGCTATACTGATACTGGCCTGATAGTTGTTGTTATAAGCAAACTCGGCAAGGTGAAGATATTTCTTCTAGTTTCACCAAAATCCAGAATACAAGCATGAAGCATATCCTCTAGAATCTGAATAACTCTTTCAGATTGTCCATTAGTCTGAGGATGAAATGCGGTGTTAAAATTCAATTCTGTTCCCATGGCTTCCTGAAAACTTTTCCAATACCTTGCATTAAAATGCATGTCGCGATCCGACATAATGGACAACGGCACTCCGTGAAGTCTGACGACAGTCTCCAGGTACGATTATGCCAGAATCTTCCAGGAATACATCACACAGAGCGGTATGAAATACGCAGATTTCGTCAACTTGACCACCACCACCCCAAATGGCATTGTGCTTGTGCTCAGTCCTCAGTAGTCCCATCAGAAAATCCATCGTGATGTGCTCCCATTTCCACCTCGGAACAGGTAGAGGCTGCAATTCTCCTGCAGGTTTCTTGTGTTCTGCTTTGATCCAGAGACAAGTTACACATTCTGAGACGTACTCACGAACGTCTTTCTTCATGCCTCTCCACTAGTACTGCCTCTTTAGGTCTTGGTACATCTTGGTGCTTCTTGGATGAATAGCGTATCTCGATTTATGGGCCTCATGCAGACTCGCCTTCTTGATCTCATCCACCTTAGGAATGGCTAGGCGGTCGCAAAAGTACATCGCTCCATCCTCTCAGATTCTCTAATCCTCAAGCTGCTCTCCATTTTGGA